GCAATATGGTATTCACAGACACAGTCTGTATTTGTGTGCATCTCTCTGAAGGCTGATGTCCCGATGAAATTTCATTATTCCAATGCCCTAATAAAACCGTACCCATCTGTCCTTCATTACAAAAAAAAAACCTCTCAGCTTTCTATCCTCATAACAGTGTCACATAAACACCACATTGAAGTGAATACAAATAAGTAAATTGGGCACTGAACAATGTTGATAATTTATTTTATTTTATTGTGAACAGAAACACAACATTATTTCTTCAAAGAAAAAATCCAGTAAATGTCTTGGGACCCAGTCTCTAGAAAAAGCGAGGGGTCTGGTTTTGCCAGCTGGCATGTGTCTATGGCAGATTTAATGCAAGCTGTAACAGCCACCATAAAGATGGCTGTGGATTGAATGAGGTTAAATGGTGCAATCTTTTTTTTTTAAATCCCACTCATAGTAGTTACCTCGGACTACTTTTAAGCAGGAAAGGGCTACACCCTTGTAAAACACACACCTGAGGGGCAAGTGCTGGCAATAAGCCTTTTTACAACCCTAAACATTTCTCGTTGGATGGCAACTACATCAGATCAATGTTGTTGATGACCATAGCAGAGATACAAACTGTAGTTCAACTGCCAGGCCCCAGCTTTTTTTTTTTAGAGTTCAAGGCCTTGTTGGTTTCACAAAATTGTCACTCCGTCCCAAGAAGTTCTTTGTGTTCTAGAAAATGTAGATCCTCAGTTCAAAACAAGGGGTTCTATTAAACTTATTTTCTTGTTTTAAATAAGACAGGGCTAGAGGACCCTCTTCCTTTTCATCTGCCAAAGATAGCAGATGTGTTTCAAGCCATACAGGAGTGATACTTGTCTGTGGACGTGCACAAGGTTTAGTTTCAGTTTTCCATTGCCCCAGAACACAGATACCTCTTAAGATTTGCTTAAGGACAGGCATTCAAAGTCTTGTGCTTACCGCTCCCCAGCACCATAGCATATAGGCAGCCTCATCTCCTATGATGGCCACTGGGATCAGGATACTGCGATATTTAGACAGCTGGCTCCTGTGTACCGCCGCCACACATGCGTCCCTCATTGGCTGGAAGGCTGTGTGGTCCCACAGAGTTATTGGGGGCATGTTACCCACCCCAGTGTATGCTAAGACCATACCAACCAGCGAAAAGGACAGTCCATCTGTCCCAGCAGTTCTTCTCGCCCAGTTCTCAGACGTTGTCACATGCTGGTCTTCTCAAACAACGCCGTCATGGTCAACTATATCAACCATCACAGCAGCATGAGGTTGAGCAGCTCTCTGCCTTGCACATAATCTCCTCAAGTGGGCCTATCCTGGTCTAATATATAATTGGTCTCACTGAGAGCAACTGATCTGGGATGTTTAATGATGCAATGGATGCGCTGTAGATGCGCTGTAGCCTCATATAGCATCAGTCAGCTACAAGGAAGATAAGCAGCACTTATCTTGTGGTAGCCAAGTGAGGGATCTCTCAGAGAGGAATGGTGAAAGAACAGGCCGCAAAGTGTGCTGGGGCAGACTGCCCCATAAGTCCACACTTCTAATTTTGAGAAGTGAGATGAGTGATCTCCACTACCTTGCATGGATATGAGTGATTCCTGTAGCATCCCATGGTGCGTTTATCAGTGGAGCCAATCTGGGCAACAACTCTTGGGGCTGCAGACAAAAGTTGTTGCCCAGATTGGCTCCACTGATAAATCATGTGTAGCTGACCAACACAATTGAAGAATCTTCAGGAAATTGGCTGAAGTTTTGCTGGAATTTTCCTTACTGTTCGCAAAGTGTCAATTTTATTTATTTAGCACTTTTCGCAATGGATACTGTCACAAGCAGTTTTACAGAATTCAGGATATAAAATTTAATTTTATCCCTAAGGAGCAAGCCAGAGGTGACCGTGGTAAGGAGCCACTGTCCCTGAGGGGACAAGAAGAAGAAACCTTGAGAAGTAGACTCAAAAAGGAGCCCATCCTTTGTTTTTTTTTTTTGTTTTTTTTTTAGGTGATGGAAGTTTTAAGCAGAAGTGGGGCATCAGGATGGATCAGGCATGTCCGGAGGGCAGAAGGTGTCAGAATCGCTGGTATCTTGGAAGTAACGTGTAGCTTGAGAGAGAGAGAGAGAGAGAGAGGCAAAGAGAGAGAAAGAGTGAGAGAACACACATTGTTGGGTATGCTCTTGTCCTGTAATGGTTTATGAAGATGTACATTGTGCGCATGGCGCAAGCAGGGACTCTGGCAAGACTAGCTGTGACAGCATTACTGAAAGAGTGAGCCAGCTAGCCACTCCACCATCAACAAACCTGAGTGATCTCGTAAGAGAGGATGGGGTTGGTTGGTTGCCAAGTTTACCAAAACACTGTATTGCACATTTTACATAAAAAGATTATAAAAAGATCAGAAGTTCACTCAGTGCTATTTACTGTGTGGTAGCCCACTGAATAGAGCTCTTGGTGATGAGTCATGGAATTATATTGATTCCATCATGGGAACACTGTGCTAACTTGTCTAACGAGTGCGGTGGGTCATAAAATAACCATCTCCAGTGTTTAATACACTATACTATTATTTTTCTTCTGGGCTGCTTTTGGAACAAAGCTACTAGTAGTGAGTCATGATATAACCGTCCCCACTGTGTAGTGTACTGTATGCTTATTTTCTTTCAGACCATATTCTCAAAAGAAGTATCTTGGGAACAATGATCCTAGTGGTGCATCATAATATAACTTTCTCTAGTGCATGGTACACTGCATGGTTATTTTTCTTCTGGGCAGTAATTCCTGAAGCATTGTTTTTGGAATGATGTTCCTCATAATATAACCATCCCCATTGTGTAGTGCATGGTATGGGTATGTTCTTCTAGATCACATTCCTAAAGGAATTCTCTCTGTAACAGTGCTCCTAGTGATGAGTCGTAACATAACAATCCTTAGTGTTTATTACACCTCTCTCATAGATGTAATAATATAACCATCCACAGTGTTTAGTACACTTTAGTACACTGTAATCCTAGAATTATCTTGGGAACAGGGCTTTTAGTGGTGAGCCATGGTAAAATCTTTGACAGTGTTGAATACCCTGTTATTTTTCTTTGAGGCCACATTTCTGGAAGAGTTGTATGTGATTCCACTTCACAGTTTGGCTCAGAAGGTAGAAAACATAAAAATAAGTGGCTGCAAAAGCTGCAGACAGGCTCCAAACAAACAAACAACTGTCCCTCAGTGCTGGAACTAGGTCGATAACACTCTGCTGCACCGCACCTGACCTTGGAGCTACTCAGGAAATGTTGTAGGGTGCAGTCGCCACTATCCTAGGCATATGTGCTTTCTTAGTAGTGAGACCACTGTGTCAGTGCACTTCTGGTAAGAAGGACATGAGGGCTAGCCAGGCTGCCATAAATTCTGATAGGCTGATAAATAAAGTTTTATGACCAAAAAGTGTTCTGACCTAAAGTTTTCTCTGTCTTTCCTGAGTAGCTCCATGAATAAATTCCATCCCATGGAGCTACTCAGGAAAGACAGAGAAAACTTTAGGTGTTCCTGCAGTGTTTCCTGCGGTTTGTCCCTAGTAAAACTGAACAGCTCTCTGGGGAAAGGCAAGACTGACCTAGCCATCTATTGCATTCATGCCCACATTATTGATGTACACTGCCCATGCTACAAAAACTATCAGCAACAGAACTGAAGTGGTCTACTTAAGGCCCCCAAAAGGATGAATGTAATCTTGGTTTCCACTAATGTCGCTAGTGGTTGGAATACCCTGGGATTCATTCCCGATGCAGACTTATTTGTCACAGACAGACTGAAAGGTATGGCACCCTCAGCCAGACTAACTGTGCCCATTGGGTTGGCCTTTGTTGCCTGGTGATCACCTCAGCAAAGGACTGCATGCCTTGGCAATAAGCTCACCCTGTGTACACTGACCGGATAGTTGCAGGGTAACAGTGTGACAGAACTTAAGGTTCCTAAGTAAGATTAGGTGTCTCAAACCTAAGAATCTGGTTATTGACAATGCAAAGTACTACAATGGTCAATCTGTATGACATTCCCTACTGTGTCCAGTCAGGGGAGTTACAGGGACAGCAGCTAATTATCACCAGTTATCCACTAGGCACACTGTCTAAGTTGAATGTGGGACTGCAGGGTGACTGATTATCAGTGTGGCATAGAAGCACAGTATTATTTTGACAGGGCGCTCCACAGGGATTGTTCATTCTCAGACACTCTACTTAGAGTCAAGTCACTCCAGGCCTGCACTGCAGCTACCTGGACATTGCCATGTAACTTTTTCAATAAGATCAGCATCGTCTCCCAATGGAGCAAGTGCAGTGAGCATATCCGAATATCCTTCCAGTCAGTCTGAGGGGGAAATTCGATTCCTTTACCAGCTTTATTTGGTAAAAAAATATTCATTTAAATTCTAATAATGCATCATAAAGCAGTATAAAAGCTTAAATAGTTCTAATATCTTTATGGTTTGTACACAGGTTATAATACCAATGACACTGGAGACAGACATGGAACCCCTGAAACCCATGTGATAACTATGTTTTTTATACTTTAAGACAAATATGAACTGCTTTGACCTCCTATAACTTTAAACCCTTTTGCTCGCATAACCATTTCTCTAGACACTACACTGTATAAAATTTGCTGTTTTCTCAGTAATAAAACTGCAACCTTAACAGTGAAAAACTGTACAATTTACATGCAATGCAACACTTCTGCTGGCCTGACTGTAATTTTACAGGAATTAGATGTCTGATTAACAGTTCATCACTGCTAAGTCTTTACGTCACTTCACTGTTGTTGTTCTTTCGGCTGCTCCCATTAGGGGTCACCACAGTGGATCACCTGCCATTGTCTGCATATTGATTTGGCACAAGTTTTACGTTGGATGCCCTTCCTGATGCAGCCCTCCACTTTTATCCGGGCTTGGGTCCAGCATTGTGAGTGCACTAATCTGTGCACCCCCAGTGGCTGGGGTTGGCACCCAGCATGGGGGCTCAGACCCACAATCCTGAGATCAAGGATCCCATGCTTTACCAACTGAGCTAGATGGGCACTGCTTTCGCATCGTTTTATTGAAATAAAACTTTCATTGCACAGTTAATTGGTGTTCTGCTACAGTCTGAAACCATATAATCTTATTACAGTAAAGTACTGTTGCAGGTATTGCAATAGTCCATTTTCCTAGCAGCTCTTTATGTACATGAGAGCTGTAATACAGGTAAAATAAACTTGGGCTTTGCACATGCTGCCATCTCCAATATCCAGATTAGTGACTCTATTAGCTATGAATGTTCACCAGGAAAAGATTGGCTCGAACATAACTCAATTGTGAATGACACATCATATGTTTATATCACTTAGGTTAGGTAAGGATATAATTATGCAGTATATGTAGGCTATGTCTTGAGTGTTATTATTTTTTATTTTTTTGCCTGTACATACTTCTCTTTTTCCCTTTTCCTCATATTTATTTGCATATTCCCAACAGGCCACCAGATTACAAAGGGTTGACTATCTGGATCATATAATAATTCATATTTTTGAATTATCTACGCAATGGGAATGCTATATTTCTCCCGTGACATTCAGTTGATAAGTCAGGTTCCCTGAAAACCAATTTGCATTGAATATAACATTAAAATATCATGATGTTAAACTTTTTACTGCTGAATCAATTCAGAAAGCGAAAGGCCTATAGTTGGGCAAATACGTCCAAGAGCAGAGCAGTTTGCATGAATGTAGGCAAGAATAATTTCCTGCAAGGGACTGAGACTAAACCTTTTGCTGCCGTTAAAACTGAAGACTAATATATCCATTTACTTTTGCCTGTGGCATTTAATAGGACATCGTAATTACTTTTGTGTAAAAGTTTTAATTAAGTCATTTAATGCAGTACCATTTGTGATGACAGAACATAGACATATTTAGACATGTCGGACACATTTTTTATTGGTTATGTACCTTTACATTGTGTATTTTTATGGTGGAATTACATAGACAAGTTTTCTTCTGGTCCAGTAAAAACCATGATTATAAAAAAAAAAACTGACTAAAGCAAATAAAGCGAGAGAAGACTGACTCCAATAAATAAATAAATGCTGAATTCATCAAATTCATGATGTCTTTATAATGTATTTGGCACTACCGTGTTTACAGTACCAGTAAGCACACAAAATGAGAAAACAAACAAAAACAGTTCGCCAATCACACTGGCTATTTTCATTTAATGGACCTTTTTAACCTATTGGAATTTTCAAGTACCTTTGACGGGTATCCTCAGAGTGTGGGGAGTCCTGTAAAAATCACATGTATGTGATGGCTGTGATTTCAGTCACTATGATGTAAAAAGAACCCAGTCTAGAACAAATAATGTACTCTTGCAGACCTACGTGACTTTTCTTACGAGAAAATAAAGCACATGATTCTTGAATATGAAAAAAAAAAAAAAGAAAATCAGGAAACAGATCGGCATTAGAAACTATTTTAAGTAAATTAATGCAAGAAATGAAAAAAAATCCAGAGAGAAAATGAAACCAGGCCTACATTCTGGACCACTAGGGCAATTTCCTAGTAGAGTCCTAGTGGAACTAGTGGAGTCTTTCTGTGTGTGCTCGTTCCTTGCTGAGTACAATTATTAAAGTCATGTAACTGTGACTTTACATGGCTACATATAAACTTTCCCCACTATATCACGTTCTCATTTTTCCCATTGTCATTTTGCCAAGGAAGTGGACACGTGACGCTAAAATATTTCACTCCAATTTCTGGTTTCTCATTACAAGCCTTGTTTTGTTTTGTTATTATTAAATGAGCGTGCATTTCCCATGCCTGGGATTCTACTGTTTGTTACTATTCTCTGCACTTTTGACTGTGTTGTTGAAGCAGACATGTGGTCTATTGTTCATGCAGCATGAAACTAATTTCATATCTTTATAAGTTGCTAAACTTCCCAAACTCTTGTATTTCTGGCCAGAGCTGTGGTTTTTTTTTTTGTTTTTTTGGTCTGCCAGGCCCAGATGGAGTTTGGGACTAGAACATCTTCGACAAGCACTTACAAAGCCTTGCCCTAAATGCAACATAATGCCAGTTGCAAAGCATGAAGCTTGTAGGCTATGAGAATACTGTTGACTATTCATTATCTTTCCTCTGACGTGGTGTGGTGCCAGCAGGTAGTCAAGTGAATAGCATCTAATAAGAAATGGGTAAACTTCTTTGCTGTGGTATTGCAGCAGAAACACAAATAGGCAGAAGGCTCAGTTGCTAACAAAGACAGTGGAGTGTACGGCAGTAGAACAGAAGGTTACTCATGTACTTATGACAGTTGATCAGAATAGCCAGAGAACGAATGTGACGGAGCTAGGACATATTATAGCCCAGTCACATGGTGATGACTTTGGTATTTGTACTCTGCAAGGAACAAGAAAGACTCCAGCAGTTCTGAAGGAAAGAAAATCCTGGTGCACCTCCACTTGGTTGTAGACCACGGTAATATACATAACCTTTCAAATGGATTTTCAACAGGACAGTGCGTTTCATGTAGATGGAAGACTGAAACAAATTCAGAAGAATCCAGATTCAGTTGCGGGTGCTTTACAGTTTAAAACCAACAATAGGTTTCATCAGTGAAATACTGACATATGACTATATATGAGGTTTCTGAAACTGCTGTTTGTCTGTCAAATGTCCTTCTCTAATGGAAGTGGTCTGAAAATTTCATGCAGTTTAGTCTCCTTCTCACTCAGTGGTCCCATAGTGGTTCATATCATTTGTGGTCTCCTGCAGGGTGGTGTGTGAGATTTCTTCTTTGTCCCTGTTGAGCTGGGCCTTAAAGAAATCGGACACACACATCACCTACGATGGGAGAGAAATATCAGTTATAGCAGTGTCCATTTCATTATCTGAATACCTGGCACAGTTTAAAAGAATGGGCAAAAAATATTGTACACCAAGAATCACTGAACCTACAATTAAAATGGTCAGATGAGACCAAAATCAAATGTTTTACCCACAAACTCAAACTCACAAAATTTGGTGAAATCAATGAGATTGCATATAAAGAAAAGCACAGGATGCACGCTGTATAATATGGTGGTGGATCACTGATGCTTTTTTGAGGTTTGTGGTCTGGGGAATCTTGACTTCCCAGGACAGTTTAGTCTATCAGAGGGCAAGCTAGAATTTATTCATGAGTAGAAGTTTCACCAAGATAATAACCCAAACATGCATTCAAATAGGCACAATAATAAATGCAGGAACACAAAATCAGTGGTCTGGAATTAACATCTCGGTCTCTGAAATTGAAACCTGTTAAAACTATGTGGTCTGCATTGAAGTGGGGAGTCCATATGCGCAAACCTAAGCATATAAAGAAGCTTGATGTTCTACATTGAGGAGTGTCCAAGATTCTGTATTCTTCTCTTTTTGTTGTTTTCTTTTCTTCTGTTTTCCTTCGCCTTCTGTTACATATGATTACTTGTCTCTTTTGTTTATGTTTATCTGAGTTAAATTTTATAAGTGTCTTTTTTGTCTAATTTTGAAAGCGTGCTATAAATAATGTTATTATTATTGTAAGTGTCTCCAACTTTGTTAGACATTGCAGGAAGAGGCTGGTACTCTCTATAGAGGGCTTCAGCAAATACTAATTGTGGGGGTGCAGAAAATTGTGATTTTTTTTTTTTTTTCACCCCAGAAAAGTGCTCTCTTTAACATATCATTTATTTTTTAAAAACTACTGGGATAAACTATACAGAATCCCAGTGTCATTCAATGCATTTGTTATTAATTTTATATATTAAGTTCTGCTTAGTTTTATGAAGAATACCAATAATTGTGGAATTGGCTGTAAAAATAAATTTGTAATAAAGGCTTATGCTGTTATGACTAACCTTTATTAGTCATAGTAAATGTGACTCAGTATCAACAGTCCTGCAGAATACTCACTATAAATATTGCCACAATGGCTCCCTGTATGAATCCAGTGAGAACATCACTCCAGTGATGTTTGTAGTCTGAGACTCGCGACAGACCCACATACACGGATGCCGAAATTAAGAAGAACTGGATAGTTGGCCTTAGCAACCGAGCCCATTCTGCCTTCATTCTCGATTGCAGGTACAGCTTTTAAAGGTAAAACAGAACAATATTAGTGATGCCAAAGCAGCTTTAAAATGATGTGATCATGCGGCATCTAAATGAAAGTGAGGCACGAGTAATCAAAGCATGGTTTCTGTGGTAGTATAATAAGATAATAGGAGTACTTACTGCAAGGAAAAGCATACAATACATGGAAAAGGAAGAATGTCCAGAAAAAAAGGAAAGCCTGTAAAAGAATTGTTACAATCTTTTAAGTTTGTGAGGATAATAATGACGTCAAGAAGAAGAAGAAGAAGAAATACATGAAATAATAATCACACACATGTCCAAGCAGACAGACACAAAAAGACTCCAAAAACAAAAACTGGTTTGGTTTCATTTCCCCTGTAAATATTTTAATTATTATTATTATTTTTTTTTTCAAAACAGCTTTTAAAACTAGGCCTAGAATTGCTTTCTGGAGTTCTTACCTGCCTTCATTGACCAATGCCTTGTCTCCTGTGCATGAGAAGTTCTCAATGTAACCTGATTTACAATCCACAAGGCTCCAGTTGGGCTTGCATATACTCAGGAAATGTGGCCTCAGCCGACCAATGGTGTACTTTGCAATGTCAGTCAGGGACTGACTTATTGCTGCTCCAAAAATAAACGACCCAACAGCTTTGTAGATGCAGGCTACATAGTCGTTAATTAAGGAGGATCTAGATCTGAGATATATGGAAATACACTCTCCACCAATGATCTGTAGGAAAAGAGATGAGATGCATAATAGGTCAACAAGCAGCAATTTCATTTGTATTCTTTTCTGCAATATATAGTAATTAAGTAGTACAATATAATTAGATGATTAAATGTCATTTGCTGTGTACTGGTAAAAGTAACTACATTCGAGCTAACCTTTTGTGTATTTTTGTAAATTACAGTCTTGTATCTTTGTGTCCTCAGACAAGTATTTCAGT